CGATGTTTTTTTTTTTTTCCAGTTTGACTTCCATTCAACATTGCAAGAAATCCTTATTATAAGAATGCAATAACAACCTTGGAGGTTATGTTTCACCTAGATACAATATAATAATATCAAAATTTTTGGAGAGGGAGAGAAAATATTGAGATGTTACTTGAACCGACGAAATGAGTGTGGAAAGAAAAATGTGTTAGCTTAGTGTGTGATAGTTGGATTGATCCTAAAAAAAGACCACTCATCAATTCTATGACTGTTACAGAGAATTACCCAATATTCATCGAAGTTGTGAATTATGAAGGGCAATACAAAGATAAATATTTCATTTCCAATTTGATCAAAGAGATGATAGTGATGATTGAACCATTAAATGTTGAGTAGGTTATCAGTAATAATTTATCAATATGTAGAGCTGCAGAATTATTAGTGGAACAAACACGTACTCATATCTTCTAGACTCTGTGTTATGCACACTTTAAATCTTGCTTTAAAAAATATTTGTACAGCCAAAAATACTGATGCTAATGAAATCATCTATATTAAATGTCATTGGATAATAGTGGTTGCAGGTGAAACTGTTCTGATAAGAAATTTTATTATGAACCACTCAATGAGACTGTCCATCTTTAATAATTTCTCACATCTGAGAATGTTAGTTGTTGCAGAAACTTAGAAACTCATTTAGTCTCTGTAATAATAATATTGAGAAGATTTAAACAAATAAAAAATGCTCTTGAATCCATGATGATTAGTGAGAAGTGGTATTACTATCGAAAAGATGACATTGGGAAGGCAAGATAGGTAAAAGAAAAGATCTTAGATGATTTGTGGTGAGATGATATAAATTATATTTTGGCCTTTACTAATCCAATTTATTATACTTTGAGAAAGGCTGACATAGATAACTTATGCCTATATTTGATTTATAAGATGTGAGATTTCATGTTAGCTAAAGTGAATGAAATTATGTACAATCATGAAAGAAAGGCACACGATAGAGACTCAAGTTTTTGGAGCGTTTTCTATACTATTATTGTCGATTGGCATGGCAAAAGTAACACACCTCGTCATTATTTGACTCACTCATTAAATCGAAGATAAATTTGAATATATCTTTTAAATTAATTTTTAATTTATTGGTTAATGAATTAATAATTTTACTTTCTTTATATTCTTTCAATATATTCAAGTAAAGAATGGCTTTACGAAGATCCTCTACGTGTCTTGCCACAAAAAGATTTAGAAGTTTCAAATATGAAAAAAATATGTTTGAAACGTTATTTCCCAAATGAGGAGGAATGAAGACGTATTAATATAAAACTTGCAAAGTTCTTTAGAAATTTAGAGGATTTTGGTGATTAAGAATCTTTGATTGATAGATGGAGGATGGATTCAAAGATGTGGTGGTTGATTCTTGAAACTTCAACACCGCTACATAAAACTATAGCAATAAAACTCCATGGGCAAGTTTTATCCTCGTCTTGTTGTGAAAAAGAAATTAGAGCACATACTCATTTATTCAATTGATGAATATGAACAAAATTATTCCATAACGGGCTGAAGATTTAGTTTATGTACATACAAATCTTCGTCTTCTATCAAGGAAGATCCCTATTTATATGGCAGGTGATAATAAGATGTGCGATGTTGTTGGAGTGGGTTCAGGTCCCTTGATGATATGTGAATATTCGTGATTGCAAATCTTTCTCTTGATGAACCAGAGTTGAAAGCAGTGATATTCAATGATGATGATATTGAAGGTCAAAGACAAACATCTAAAACTAATTCTATTATTTCTTCTACCGAGTAGTTTAAGCTTGATGTTGTACTAAATGATTTTTTGCTTATATTTTTGTGGTTGTACTAAACATTTTATGTTATGAGCCAGATAAGTTATCATGACATTGATTTATTATTATTTGTTATTTCTAATATAATGTTACATTAATTTCTATACACTATATATAAAAAAATGTAATGTCATGTCTGCGCTATACCCGTGTCCTATATTTTCGAAAAAAGCCATGTCCCATATCCGTGTCCGGGTCAATGTCTGTGCTTCATATCCATCAAGTTATCAATATTAAATATCCTCTTTGTTAAGTTATCGTTGTAGCAGGATATTAATCTCTTATAGAATTGATTTCTCAATATTTCCTCCAGTCAGCTTAAGACACATGAGCACTAACTATAGTATTCTTTTAACTCATAATTAAAGTAATATCAATGATTCTAAAAACAATTTTCTTTTCGTTATCTTTCTTACGACCAATAAGTTTCCGAATTTGGCAACAATTCCCCACTATTTCCTTTCTTATTCTTTTGATTTATTTTCCCTTACTTTCTCTATATTTGTTTTGGAATCTACAAGCAACTTAGTTGCAGTAGGTGGCTTCAATGGCAGAAAATAGCAGCAAAAGAGGTTGTAACGAATGACACAACAACAAATGCAACATCAAGCTCCTGGAAATCAATGACAGAGGTGTACAATACAAAGGAATGCTCATGGAAGAAATAGTGACAGCGGAGTCTAAGGGTAATTGCTATAGGAGCAGCTGACCAGGTATTGATGTAGACAGCAATGGAATATCTGGTAAAGAGCAGTGAAAGGAGAAGGGAGAGATTTTCTTTGGAGAATTCTCTAATTTTTTATTTAATTTCTTGTAGATATCTGGCCTTTAAATAGACAAAATACAACAATAATAAGATCCAATCCTTTCATAAACAAACTTCACTATTTGTGAAATGGTTTTCTACTAAAAATCAACTTGATAAGCTCAAACTGCATGATAATTCCTACAAACATTAGCATAATCTGAATTTAAATTCAAATAGAAGACTATCCAAACAAGTTTAAAATTTTAATTTCATCCTTATCGTCCCGTAATTTGAAACTGGATCCAACGATTCAGCTTTTGAAACCTTGATCTCCCTGGTATGATGTTTGATTGATGATCTCCGATGAACATCTGGCAATATCCTCTTCGACATCAAGGATGTGATATAAAAATCTCCACTGTTGACAGTTTCCTTGGATAAATTAGACCATTATAACTTCCACGAATATGGTCTCTTCTCTTTTTTCATGAATTAATGCCCAAATTATGAGTAAGCTTCTCATGGACTTGTTTCTATTGGATGGTTAAATTAAACATTCCCTTCATGATTTGATCCACAGATCATGAGACTATTTTAGGAGGATTTCACTCTTTTGAACTTATAATTTCTAGTGATAAAAAGGCTAGATCTCCAATGTCCCATTTATACCATTTTGTTGTATTTAACAATTGATTTTTTGGAGAGTTTTTGGGGAGATTTTAGAAACTTCCTTTGAGAGTTTCCTGGTTTATAGGGTTTTGATGGCATGTTTTCTTTACTTGTCCTACAAATATTCAAAGTAATACTTTGGATGCGTAATTTGCCTTGACTTATATTTATGGTAATGTCACATCTTTTGAGTTTGCCAAAATTGATGAGTCATTGAATTTTTGTTTATCATTTTCTTTCATGAATTGGCAAGAGGGTGACTCTTTATGCTTTTCTGGAAGGGAAACTTCACCTATTCCATCACTCTTTTTTAAGACAAGCTTTTCTTACTTTAAATATCTTTAAGTAGCTAAGGGTGTACTATTGTGTAACTATATATTTCTTGATCTACCTCGATAGACAATATGATCATATCTATGAACTCTTGGTAACAGCTTTGATTTAGGTAGCTAAGAGTTCTATTTGTTGTGTGTTTAAAACTATGATGCAAAGGCACGAACACGACACGGGACACATTAATTATATAAAATATAGGGCACGAACACGGGTTGGACATATCATTTTCATTTTTATATATTAAAAATATTGTATAAAAATTAAACAATCATAATATTAAAAATAATTGAAAAATAATAAGTAATTTAACAAGGATTTATGCTTAAAATGATTAATATTAGGATGTCGAGAGTCGGGTATTGATGTCGTATTAGATATCAAGAGGGGAGACGACAATGCTCTCGGCATCATTGTTATGTAATGGGCATCTGTCGTCGATCCTGAGATGATGTCAATCGTCGACGTTAAGATGACATTGGACAAAAAAGAGATGTCTAGCTGGCATGGGGGCGTGACCGTGGGTGTAAACATTTAATAGTGTTAAGCGTCAATGTCAACACAGGGTTAGACTTCGATTTTGATATGGTTTTGAAATACTAATGAAGTGACAGCATTGGATGTTGATATTGAGATGGCTTTGAGCATTGTTGTGAAACCTTAGCCCAACCTAGTAGAGAGAAATGAAAATAAGCATGTTCAGGGAATGAGGTATTGCGCGCGAGCAATTGATTTAGGGCTTTGGAGTGGAAAAATAAGAAATTTAGTTTTTTTTTTACTAAATAAAAATTGAGAGACCATAATTATATTTTAGAAAATTTCATAAAAGATTTTAGACACGCATGTTGGACATGTCCGTCCAATTTATTTTAATACTTTTTTAATGAGACACATCTTCGACATGTCTGACACGTGTCAGATGCATGTCGTGTCCAATATGCGTCGGACACTACATACCTCTTTGAAGAGAAGTGTTGGTGTATTATAAGTTTAAACAATCTCTAATTATGACCTAGAAAAGTGATATATTGAAATACAGAATAACCTCTGTTCTGCAGGATGAGCTTTGTGCACTTCAGGCTTTCCTAAAGCTTAAATAGGAACAAACTCAACAAAGAATATGTTTTTCATCACACAGAGCTATGGTATAGCTCTTACATTGTTGTTATATTCCAAAATGTTTGTCTTACACTTTAACTGCAAATTTTTTTAAAAATAATTTTATTCTGCCAATCATTAGCCATATTATTTCAGTCGACCAGTTTATCTTGTTAGCAAGTACTTAAGCTGTTATTTGATTCTATATTCCCATCACAGTTTTTATTGATATAAAGCTAGGTGAATAATCACGTTTCAACTTTTTTTTTCCTGATCTGGCTTTTTTTTCTTGAGGCTTTCAGAGACAATCGCTCCATTATCTTGGGCAGAAAGAATGATGATTGCACATGGCGCTGCCAAAGGCCTTGCCTTTCTTCACAATGCTGAAAAACCTGTTATCTACCGAGATTTTAAGACATCAAATATATTACTGGATTCGGTTAAGTATACAGACACACACACATGGATTTTGTGTGTTTGCACATTTATGCTTCGTTTGAGTTAGTTTTCTAACTGCTTCTTAAAATAACTTTTTAGTACAAAAATTTTAATTTTTGTACTAGAAAGCTGCTTTAAGAAGCAATAAGACAGCCGTCCCAAACGAAGCCTTAGTAGTTGCCAAGCTTTTGAAAAACCTGTTTTCTTCCTCTATGATTTTAATTCTTTCTAATTTGCAGGATTATACAGCCAAGCTAAGTGATTTTGGGCTTGCAAAAGCAGGACCTCAGGGTGATGAAACCCATGTCTCAACACGGGTGATGGGTACTTACGGATACGCTGCTCCAGAATATGTCATGACTGGTACGACTTGTTCATTTTGTGATAACTTTCAAAGGGTAAATTGCAAATGGTGTTTGGCAAGGTGCGATTGTTGTACTATACATCTTAGTAAAATATAACACATATATCAACTAGATTATTTTCGACCTGTGAAAATATTAGAGAAGCCCTAACTTCAGATTTATAATCTTAATTGAGCTAATGCAGTCATGTGTGGCCGCACATGATCCCAATCTAGTAGGCAATTCTTCATGACTCCCACAATCTTTATAAGCTTTGTGTAATCTTGAGCCCAATTTAGTATGCAATTCTTCATGACTCCTGCAATCTTAATAAGCTTTGTGTAACATTGAGCGAGATGCTACATCAACTCAATGTAGCCCCATCATGTCTTGGCTAGCTCGATCAACTTGATCAAGTCCATCATAGGCTTGACCATACCCTACCCCAATCCATTGGATCCCTAATTGACCCAAATTGGTTTGGTAGATTAATATGGCTCCTATTGGTCTTAATTGAATCAATTGACCCTTTGATTAGCTTGGCATGCTGAATTGGACTTGAATTAACCTACATTGATCTAGGTTGATCCATTTTGACTTCGGCTGACTTGAATGGGCTTAATTAAGCTAATTAGTCCCAATTGGCTCAATGGAATTGAGTTCATCTACTTATGACTCACATTAAAGTACTGGAGTTGTGGTTAACCAAATAATTACAGTTGACCCATAAGTTGACCTGATGTGATACCACATGCAAGGAGCTTCTTAAGAAAATTAAAAGTGAATAAGCTCTGAATCATGGCCATTGATCGGTGATGCACATGTTTGGACTTTGGATCGATGTCCTCATCATGACCTGCATTTGATTTAGAATGAACCATCTTGACCTAGGTGAAGCCGTGTTAATTAATTGCATGGTTCAATCTTAGTTGACTTAATTAGGTTTGATTGGTGTACTGGACCCAACTGACTCCTCTCTGACCAAGGTTGGCTCAATATAGCTAATCATAATTGGCAGAAGCACAACAACCTTAATTGATCTATGTTAAATAAATTGACAAACTAATTAGCTTATATTGCTTAATTAGACATGCCTTAAGCTATATAAACCCTCTAATTGATGCAATTAGCTCAATTGACCATCTAATTTTGTTACTTGACTTGCCTCACTCAACATTTAGCCTAATGAACCCCAATTGGTTTGATTGAGTCTAAACCTAGCTTGTTGGACCAAATCAATTGAAATGTATGATTCTAACCAGTTCTCAATTAATCCCAATTGGTTTGACTGAGTCTAAACCTAGTTTGATAGACCCACATTTGAATTAATTGAAATATGTTAAACCAACTTGATTCCATAATGATTATGGCCCAATCTAATTTGACCCCTTCACTCTTAATTATTCCATTCAGGTTTAATTGATTTGATCCATATATTTTAGGATTTAATTTGATTTAAATTTAGCCCAAGCCAAAATTGTTAAGAAAGCTTCGTATGAATTTTATAACTCTAGAAAACCAATTCTAGAATATTCCAACTACTTTGCAGAGTCACCCGGACACCAATCCGTGCTAAAAATTTGATTGGATCGAGCAGCTCATGTATTTACAAAAATTGTGCTATGATGATAGGAAGTTTTTCTCTTCAACGAAAAATCCTATTTATAATGAAAACTACAATCCAACTCTACTAGAATTACTCGAGTTGGAAGAAAGATGGCTTTTAAACGAGTAAAATTGTGTTAGTAATATCATTTTCTTTGTCGTAAATCTGTAAGAGGATGATGAAAATTATACCCCATAACATTTGTTGCAAAACATTTATAAAAAATGTATTCAAGGGCAGATAAGTTGGACCTTTGTTAGCCCCAATCAGATCCAAAAAGGCCTGATTTATTATAGGCAATCAAATCTGATTCAACAGGCTCTGATGGTTGGTGCATTACTTACCCTTGTCCATGCAAGGCATGGGATTTGGTGTTTGACCTTTTAGTTGTTGAACCGCTCTAACAGCAGTGATCCAATGGATGGCGCTACATCATGTAGTGCAACCCATTCACCATGGCACCTAGGAACATATCCTATTGCACTTGTAGGATCTCTTACCTATTTTTGGCATGCATCCCTGCTAAGAGATGCATGTTGAATCGATTGCATGTTCTGCATTGTCAATGGAATGTGTACTGTTATCTAAGGATGGGTCACCATAGGTTGCCCTTCCTCTTAATGTTGTTTGGTTAAAGGTAGACTGTAATACTATCATATGGTAGCTTACATAAAAATTTTTCCCCTTTTTGAACTTTGAATTTCCATATAATTTACATATTTTAGTGTATTTTAAAAATTTTCCAAAACTTGGATTTTTGTCCAAGAAGTTACAAGCATTCATTGATACAACAACAGCAACAATATCAACCCTTATTCCACTACATGCGTTTAGCGACATGAATCCTTTTTCTCCATTGTGTCTCATTAGGAGTCATTCTCATTTAAATTTTGCACAACCTTCTCTTAATTCCAACTTTATCAAATAGTTCGACTTTCACTTCATCCTCTTTGATGTCTGATTCTAGAAACCAAATAATGAAAACTGCACAACTCTTATAGAGTAGAAGTCATTTCTTCTTTAAATATTTGACTCCAACAATTAGATCATGCAAAGGCACACAACTCTCACGAGCGAACTTCGGTTCTTCTGCTTTATCGCTATCAAACAATAGCCTCTTAGATGGTATGAACTCCTTTCTATCTTTGCCAATTATAGAAATAGGTGGCACGAACTTCTCCATTCTTCGGCTTCTGATTCTACAATACGACGTTCTTCTTTGATTATTTTGAATGCTCACTTGAACTTCTCTGTCCTGTCTGATTGATGCTACAGAATAGCATGAAATGCCTCTTCTTCTCCTTTGCCTTCGACTCACTTAACCGATCAAACTGAAGTTGTATTCACCCTTGTCTGCGTGAGAAGTCGCGTCCTCTGGTCTTGTTTGCCTTGACTCATGTTGTCCTCTGGTCTTGTTTGCCTTGACTCATGTTGCGCTCGCTTCTTCAATTTAAGGAAAAAGATTCATTTGAATCGGTTTAGCCGCTTATTACACACATTGTCTCATTAAATCGGTTTAGCCACTTATTATGCACCTTGTCTCATTAAGGCAAAATTCAACCTTCTCTCAATTCCAACTTTACCAAATAGTTCGACTTTCACTTCATCCTCTTTGATGTCTGATTCTAGAAACCAGAATGAAAACTGCACAACTCATCTTCTTCTTCTATCCTATAGAGCAGAAGCCATTTCTTCTTTAAATATTTGACTCCAACAATTAGATCATGCAAAGGCACACAACTCCCACGAGCGAACTTTGGTTCTTCTCCTTATCGCTATCAAACAATAGTCTCTTAAGATAGTATGAACTCCTTTCTATTTTTGCCAATTATAGCAATAGGTGGCACGAACTTCTCCTCCTTTCTTCGGCTTCTGATTCTACAATACGACGTTCTTCTTTGACTATTTTGAATGCTCACTTGAACTTCTCTGTCCTGTCTGGTTGATGCTACAGAATAGCATGAAATGCCTCTTCTTCTCCTTTGCCTTCGACTCACTGAACCGATCAAACTGAAGTTGTATTCACGCTTGTCTGCGTGAGAAGTCGCGTCCTCTGGTCTTGTTTGCCTCGACTCATGTTGCGCTCGCTTCTTCAATTTAAGGAAAAAGATTCATTTGAATCGGTTTAGCCGCTTATTACACACCTTGTCTCATTAAATCGGTTTAGCCACTTATTATGCACCTTGTCTCATCAAGGCAAAATTCCTTAGTTTCTGATTTCTCCACTTTAAATGGTGCCTGTAATGACCATATAAAATGAAGTCACCTTGGAAGACAGATAGGAACCCCTCAACTTGGTCCCCATCCCCTAAAACGCTCGCACGCCTGGAACAGACAGCCCCCATCTTAGAGGGAAGAAGGAAATAACAAAGTTAAAAAAAAATTAAAAAATTCTGAAGCAACCTTTTGAATTTTGTGCTATATTATAGCACAAAATTCTGAAGCCAGATCCATTCTCTTAGCTACCCATTTATGTCTCTAAAGGACTATAGTTTTTTAATGTTATTGGCATACAACATTTGCATTTGTTGTTGTTACTTTGTACCAATTGGCCTCCAGTATTTGGTGCAATTATATTCATTTTTGTCTCTACGATTCATTTCCCATTCCCTGAATGCCAACAGGCCATTTGACTGTAAGGAGCGATGTCTACAGCTTCGGGGTTGTTCTCCTCGAGCTCTTAACCGGCCGCAAGTCGATCGACAAAACCAGACCCAGCAAGGAACACAGCCTCGTCGATTGGGTTCGTCCTAAGCTCAACGACAAGAGGAAGCTTCTGCAGATAATTGATCCACGGCTGGATGGCCAATACTCAGTTAAAGCTGCACAGAAGGCCTGCAGCTTGGCTTACTACTGCCTGAGCCAGAATCCAAAGGCCAGACCTTTAATGAGTGACGTTGTGGAGACATTGGAGCCTCTGCAGGAGACCAATGGCATCCCTGACCACCGTATGCAGCGTAGTAGACTTACAGCTACTACGAGTATCGGCTGCCGGCCAATTCCGACTGCAAAATGCTCTTCACCTGGTGCAGTGCCTGTTTGCCAGGTGAGATGAAGAGTGCTCGTGTATATACAATATGCTTGTTTTTTTACCGTTTCTGTGTGGGTTGTTGAGTTTACTTGTATCGTTTGTGCTTTGGATGTAGATGATTTCACTGAAATATTTGCTTTGAAGTTTCGTAGAATCTGATACTTTTGGCTGTTTGATCTTAGGGTTTAGAAACCTTGTCAAAGGGCAGGGTTTTGATTTAAGGAATTATTGTGTAGTAGTTCAAGAAGCAATAGCCTGATGATTGTTGAACAATTGTTTTGTTTAGTTCTATGTTGTGGTGTAAGTGAGTCAAGTCGACTCGTGAGTTGAATAATGGCTCGTGAGCTGAGTACGTTGGTTGGATAAGCTAATGAGCCAAGCTTGAGTTAGGTTCGATTTAATTTGTTAACTTATGAGGTGACTTGTTTAAAAAATATTAGTATAAAATATAGTTAAACATATTTAAATTTAAAATTTTAAGAATAAAGTTATTAAAAATATTTAAAATTTATATATAATTTTATTATATTAAGTAATTCTTTATTATTATTATTTTTATAATAATTATTTAAATATAATAATTCTCTCTTTTTCATAATAAGTGAGTCGGTTTATATCTTCTATACTCACGAACTTTGGTTTCAATTATCTATGTAAACACTATATTTTTAAGAAGTTAAATTTTATTAGATATAATTTCACTTAATAAATATAGTTGGATTGAAATATTAAAAATATTTAAAACTTAGGTTGGCTTTAAATTCCTGCGCCAATATTATTGAGTTTAAGACCATTAATTTTTTTCCAGCACTAAACAAAGAATGAAGGCACCTCATGTTTATAGGAAAAACAGTTGTAATCTTACATATAGCTATGGTATATATCAACAATATCAAATTTTTATCTCACTATATGAGATAATTATAAAATTAGTTTTTCAGAATCAAATTCTTATTTAAATCAATCAAAAATAATGATTTCTAATACTATCTAACTAAAATTTTTAGATCTTATTTCCAATACTTTCACCGTCAAGAATCATCTAAAAATTAGACAAAATTATCAATAAAGACTTAGACATTTTTGAAACAAATATTACTAAGTCTTACTAAATAATTTTCCGTATGATACATCAATATAATAATTCATATGGTACTGAACCTCAATTAAATCTATAAATTAAGTCACGTCAATCTTATAGTTGCTAACAATAATCTTGTAAAGATTCTTAGAGCTTATCTCTTTAATATTCGTTTTCTCATTTTTTGCCTAATTGATACTTATTATTAATGTTCATGTGTTACAAATCTTTATACCAAATATCCTTTGGCCAAATTATGAAAAGGAGCATCTTTTACCGGATTATAAGCTTAAGGAGCGTAATGAGAGAATAATTAAAAATGAGCGAATATAGAGGATATTGAAACCGTAATTTAAAAATATGGTTTCATACTGATTTTAGAGATCCGATTTCTATAGAAACCACTACTCTAAAATCCAGTTTCTATAGAAATCGGATTTTAGAGCTTCGGTTTTTTACAATTTATCTTTTATTTTTATTTACATCATTTCAAAACCATTAATTAACAAAATTTATTAAATTACAAAATTCACGATGATATATTATTTATAAAAAGAAATTTTTATAAGTATGAAGAGGGAGATTTAAAGAGGTTATTAGTTTTATTTTTTAAATAATATTTTTTTTAAAAAATAAATTTTCATATTTATAAGTTATGTTAAGAAATAATTATATTTTAATATATTGAAAAATAGAATTTTTTTGGAGAAATAAATATGCATTCATCTTCGATATAGATAATTTGGAATGGCCTAAAGGAACCGATGTAGTGATCCTGCGATGAACTGATCTTGGAAGTGCAAATCTAATGGCCTGAAGGAACCGATGTAGAGAGGAGTACGACTCCTCAAAACTACCAAATACTAATTTAATGGCCTTAATGCGGGCATCCCAAGCCTTGATATAAGGGATCTTAAAGTCAAATTTAGACTCCATCCGAGCGATGATCTCACGCAGCTTCAAGTCAATTTGTTGACGAAGAATAGCAGTGATGTAGTAAGAGATGAACTTCGAGTTATAGTTGATAGCAGTGATGTAGTAAGAGATGAACTTTGAGTTATAGTTGTGATGACCTCCAGACATCATATGATTAAGCAACTATGTGGAGGACCACTGGATGAGACTTTTCATATTCCACCAAGTCATTTGCTCTTCGCAGCGTGCAGGCGCCATAGGCAAGGACATGATGTATTATCATGTTGTGCGCATCTAACAGTTAGCCTTTTAAGGGTTGGATGTGCCTTTGATGTATTCTACATTTTTAATGATTGACCATCCATTGAATGCGCACTGGAGGGCATCCTTACTCATGAAAGTCATGCCTTCGTATAGTTGATTGGGAATAATGTCATCCAATTCCCCATCATAAGCAGTAGTTGGTGGATCAATTAATATCATCCGTGCTATCCCATGCCTGTGCTGATCATAGAAGTTCAACGTAATTGTTATTTTCCTCCATGTCACCTAAGCCAGCTTGGTGACGAAATGCATGATCACGGACCAAATCATGCACATGTAATGATGCAACAAATTCTTCTGCAATTAGATTTATGTCATCACCTGCGAGCATTCCACTTGAGCTCTCACTACTTCCGCTGTCCATCGTCTCATATCCTCCAGCTATTGGTGTGCCTTCACCCTCATGTTCCTGTTGAACCAGTTGACTTTATTGGTGGAGGTGAAATGTCGGTGCACTAGATGAACTCTCACTCATACTTAATCGACGAATACTTATTGGTTCGTTTTGTGGTGAACGTTCATAAACACTAAAGCGGTGAGGTTCATCTATAATTAGGGGTGTCAATTTCGATTGAAATTGGACTCGATAAAAGGACAGAGAAAGCCATATGGTTGGACCCTTCAAACACGTCGTTGCAGAAAGAAGGAATCTGATAATCCTGTGGTCGGGTACAAACAAAGTCTCGGACAAGGGGCCTCAAGCCTTTCCTCTGTTCGAGCCTTGACATGCGTCGTTTGAGTCGAATAATTTCTTGCTGAAGATCTTCTATTTCAGCTTGTTGCACCGTTCGTCGGAGAGGCATCTTGCTTCTATCCTTCAAGAACTTATTCAAGACAGTTAAGAACAGCTGCGGAACTCCTACGCTTGGAGCCGTTCGTTAGACTGGAGAAACTAGTGCCTGAAGATGTGAGTCCGATGGCTTTAAAGGATGATCAAGCAGACAAATTTCTGGCACTTCTTGGCTTTAAGCTGCAGTTTGCCTGACGGAGCCGAGGTAGAAAAACGGAAGCCCCTTCACGTAGAAAAGTTTGCTCCTGCAAGCCCCAGACTTGGTTTCATGATTCACTACGGGAAAACACGCGAATACCATCGGATTTTCCGGTGGAATATTCTGGACGGTAATAAACGGCGCAGTTACCGGCGGATTTGCTCGACGTAAAGTTTGCGTCAACGTTTCCGGCGCAAAATACGCCGTAAATTCACCGACGCATGTTCCGCCGGCAACTCCGACGGTATTGGGCTGCAGCTCTTGCTGCTGGGAGATAATTCAACCTAGATCAGTGGTGAGACCAGCGGCCACCTCTGAACAGAAAACGACCAAGCCTTCCAAAAGGATCAACAAACACCTCCGATTGGTTCTCAAGAAGACCTGTTATTTTTTTGTTCTGTCTTCTTCCACCAATAGTAATTAGAAAAAGACAGAATGTAGGACAACCGTGAGATAAACAAGAAGATTATTTATTTTTATCTTTTGCCACCTAACACCGTTTTAGCCTTGGGCAGGTATCTCCACGGAAGGAGATTGCTAGCAGTCCCAAGGATAGAGACACAAAACCACCACTTGAATAATTTCAAGATACAGGAAGAGAGGCATCTCTCTCGGAACAAGTTCAGGCAAAAATTCTCTCAGGCATCTTCTCAGCTCTGATACCAAATGACACCGGACCGGAGGAAGCTCGACGAATCCACGTCGACGATCTGGTGGCGTTCGCCGGACACCACTCCAAGAACTCCTTGGAGCAAGAACCACCACCTAAGAACAATCTTAGGATACAGAAATTCAAAAGAGAGTAAAACTCTAATTTTATTAATCTCCAAATCTTTTTTATTACAAGACACTAGCCTATATTTATAGACTTCAGGTAGTCACATATATAATAGGCTACACAAGAGATAGAATTACACCAATCACTAACAAGAAAATACAATTTATTTATATGGACGCTCCTGCGTCAGGTAGCACACTCAGAATAAATTTTGGTTGTAAGGGTATTTATGAAAAAAAAATTCTATACCTTTACTTATAAGTCCCCCTTAAAAATTAAGACTGGTTTTGCCGCTGAGTAATAGATATATGAAATTACCATATTTTAGATATATATTACTTCATATCTAAATCTACTTAGATATGAAAGTAGTTATTGTGACTCATGAAATTGTTAATAGAGTTAGATATTTCATAGAATTCTAAGGATGTAATCTTAGTGTGATAAAAAATAAATAACGGATTATTGCAAAAAATAATTTTTTGAGAACATTCTCATAGTTCACTTACATTTTTTATATGCAAAGTCATCTTATTTAGAGTTGTTTCAATTTACATTATAACTTAAAGAAACGAAAAAAGAATTAGCTGCCCAATGAAGTGACCAATGGGAATTCCTCTCTTTGCATATTGAAAGTGAAGGCAAAATCCACTTCCTCCTCCTCACTCTCTCTCTCTCTCTCTCTCTCTCTCTCTCTCTCTCTCTCTCATAAAATTAGTCCATCGCTAAGCTGGACCGTCTTCAATGTTACCGTCACTTGTTCTCAAACTGCACGATTGAGGCCATGATTAATGAAAGATTGGGGGCGCTGTTCGTTGTTCGGCCAGATCTGTCCGCGTAGCACTGAGATGTTCTGGGCATATATATACATCTAGCAAATACGATCCATGATAACGATGAGCGCCATTATCAGCTCAGGACAGGCATCTTCCTCTATGAAGAGGCTGAAGACATCTTTGCCCAGCACCATTGACGGGCTGACCTGCTTCGGTGTCATTAAAGCCAACACTTGTCCTCCCCTTGCACGAATTTTGCAGCTTCTCTTCTTGAAGTTTCCTTCTATTGTAAAGTCTGCAGCCATGGCGGCGCAGTCGCCGCCGCCTGCTGACATGATGACCTCAACGATGTCATCGTTGTTGCGAACGAAAGAACGCCTTCTCATGGTGAAGAGGTGGGATTTGAATTTTGTTTTGGAGTTGCTTCCATCTGATCCTCTGTATCCTTTCCATTGGTCATACATGCTCATAATCTGTGTGGAAGCAATCAATTGAGTAATTCTTCTGGTTAGAATATTTCACACACACACATATGTAAAAGGAATTCATTACTAGCTCTGCTTTTCATTACCATACAGAGATCATTTATGCTTTAATGATACAGTCTCCATCATTATTGAAAGAAACGATCTCGTGCAGATGCCAAGAAAAGACTGAATGAGAACTACAGGAAATTATCATTTTCCGGCAGCCATTTTTGCCGGAAAATGATCAAAAAACGTCGGAAAGTAGTATTTCCGGCGAGTTTTTAACTGAATTTTTTCTGCCGACAAACACGCATCGGAAAATTCCTATTACAAAATAATCCGCCGGAAATATTGTAAAACACGCGTCTAAATGCGACCTTCCCCCGAAAACTATTATAACTAAGATTTTTTTTTTTAATACAATTTGGGTTCAACATAGCTTTGCTTCTTAAAAGTCCCAATTGATAACAGTACTACGAGAGAGAGAGAGAGAGAGAGAGAGTTTCCAATAGACTGATCCTATAGATACAAATATTTATGTACCTGAGGTCGGAGAGACAGAAGTGGCCTTCCAATTGCATCCATGAGCAGAAGCTCACCAAGAAGATACTTATCCTCCTGGAATAGTTGTCCACCCTAAAAGCTAGCTTCCCTTCTCCATCATATACCGAGAAGCCATCAGATCCTACGAAAGACATGCTAGACTTCTTCCATACCGTCCATGTTCTAACGATCTTCTTCGTCTGTTCCTCCTCATCCTTCGCTTGAATCTCAGAAGGATAGATCTTCGAAGACATATCTAACTGTAAAGAGAGGTGTGGAGAAAGTAAAGGCTATGAGTTGATGAGGCCACAGGTGCTGTTCTTTTTAAGGGAGAAATGAGCAGCTTGAAATGTTGCATGTGATATAATTAAAACTGATTTTGTATTGGAGAACTACTAGATATTAATTTTGACTTCTTTTCTTTCTTTTACTGAGGATATTGGTCTCCATTTAGGCTGGTGGAAACTGCGTAGGAATACCACTTTTATGTTGCTATATCTCTAAACTTAGTCTTCTAGTTGGGTTGCTACAGAGTCATTATCATATAATCCAAAATGTAATGTCATGAAGTGGCTTTACGAGGAAGTATCCTGGTATTAATGGCGAGCTAACGTGCCGTCCACTTCTACATAGATGTTAAAAATACAAATGAGATTAAATTTTAATTAAGTGTAACCACCTTTTAAGCTGTTGATTGTTTACGTCATATGATCATGTGGAGAAAAAAAAAAAAAAAATTTGCTCAGGTTGTTCGTGTTTTATCTTGTTTATTTAAAAAAGTAGTTCTATATAAATATTCAGAATACAAATTGGAATATTTATTATTTAAACATCAAAGGATAATTAAGCACATTAAAAATATTAAAGCATATACATTTAATGTAATTTTTCTCAATAATAAATGTAGAGTTTTGGAATAAAGATAATTTTAAAACCACTACAGGAAAATAGGTGATTACCAGCAGACCATATCCTCCGGTAACAATGAAAAAATGCTGAAAATTATGAATTTCTGAAGAATTTCTGGTGAAAAATCATACGACGGTAATTCGCGCGCCGCAAATAACATTCCGATGCAAAAATTTTGCCGAAAACATTTCCAGCGGTACTTCCGACGAAATACCGGCGAAAATGTAAGATATATATATATATGTCGGTTTTCGAATCCCTTTTTCCAGCGTAAGTTCCGCCGCTTTTTCTGGCGTACATGTTTGCCAGAAAAGCAGCAGAACTTATGTCGGAATTGTTGTCAAATATCAATTTAATGGATGCACCGGCGTAAACGCCACCAGTGTTACCGATGCATTATTACGCCAGTAATAGCTATTATAAGTCGTTGTATCGTATGGCGGCGCACTTATCGGTGAAAAATCCGTCGGAAACCTGTAGTAAATAGAAAAAAAAATGTCTTCCAATAATCAAAATGGATTTCCATACCTGCAAACAAATTTTCACATAACATCTAAACAACATATAATATCAACATCTGATTCACAACATATAATTAATATAAAAAACATATAAATAAACACAATCTACTTGTTCAATCGTTAATTATTCAACTGTTCGATCATTAAACATTTAATTGTTCAAGAGTTTAAAATTGACACAACTACTCTGATTCAGTCTCCTCCGCCTCAAAAACTACATTCTCTGACTAAGCTACTCTCTCATTTTTCGTATTTCATCCAGGATTAATCTTTGATTTCTATGATTGTATTAAATATGTTATTTAAATTTTTTTTTTCAATATGCATCACATCTAAATTATGTCTGATCAAGTTTGCCTCCAATATGACAATGACCAAAATATGCTTTTTTATCCAATTGTGATTGGCATCATACCTTGATAATTTATAATCAGCTAATGCTGACAAATCCACTATTATAGGCATGGAACTAACTCTTTCAAATATTTCTTCACTATTGAATATAGGAGGAGACTTCGACATCACCATTTTATTTTTAATAAATGCATCTTTGTTTCACTTGAAAGGATGGCTTGTGGGTAAGAATATACAGTGACAGTCAAACCAAGTGTTTTTTCCTCCTTTCTTTAAAGTGAATGTCTTTGTATATTTCATACGATATGGATAAGCTAACTTTCCAGAAGTGTTCTAACCTGAGAGTATATCATAAGCAGGAAAGTTATCAATTATCCAAAGTAATGCGACCCTCATTATGAAATTTTGATTGGTGGAAATATCATATGTAATAACTCCCTCTTCCCATAATAAATATAAAAAACAATCAATGGTTGTAAGAATACATCAATCTTTGATTTTGGATTATTCGATCCTGAAATGATTATCATTAGAAATATATAAGGAACAGTCATACACAACTCTAGTGAAAATTTGTATGGGGTGAGTATCACTGGCCAGCATGAGTAAGGTGAAGAAGAGTGACTAAAAAGAGAAAAACTATCTGCACATAAACCTAATCTGACATTCCTTGCTTCTATGGCAAAGGGAGGATGTGTACGATCAAAGTGTTTCTAAGCCTTTGCTTCTGATGGATATGTAATCACACCTTCTTTCGATATGTGTTCATTATGCCATCTCATATGTACAGCAGATCTCATGGAAGCATATAACCATTGTAATCTAAGAATTATAGGAAAGTAAAACATCCTCTTGAATGGTACATCATTCAATTTTTTTTGACACATTTTTAGGTTTAAATCTTGGTGCATTGTAGTGACGACATACAATTTTAAACTGATTATCCTTATAGTATAGCATGCATCCATTGACATAATATCTATCTTTGTTTATGTCCAACTAAGTTTGGAAACCAACTTTTAGTCTGATATAAATCTGCATGAATCATGTTATCTGCAGGATTAGTTTCCTTAAGGAGGCTAATAAATTGATTGAAACATTCACGGGGACATTATATTCTGCCTTATTACTTAACATCTTAGCATTAATAGATAACTCTAAATGAGTTGTGTTGCCCTTCCATATTAGTTTTTGGAAAGCCTGCAACATGTCATAAAAATGTTGTGCCTCCTTATTTGGTGACTCTACTGAATATTATTCAGAGTGCACTCCTGTGGCATTATTAACTAAGTCTTCAAGATTAGATCGGATATTATCTTCCTTAGCTATATTAGAACTTGTCGATGGATCACACCGAGAATCTAAATGTGGCTTATATTTACCATGATAAGTCCAATACCAATATTCCGGCATGAACCATCTACGGTATAAATCAATAGTTATATCATCTGAACTTATGTGCACCTAATTTTTATATTTGAAACATGGGCAGCGAAACTTTTCATCTAAGATGAAACTGAGCATTTGACAAGTTGTTTGAATGAAATAGTTCACCCCTTTAATAAACTCATATGTTAATGTCTTTCATCATTGTGACAATCGATTATACATCTAACTTCTTTGATTTCTGATATCCATCTGAGATAAAACTATGTAAGAATATAGTTATTTAATAAGAATATTTATAACAACAACAATAATATTCATAGATGTGTAGTGATTAAAATGTTTTTTATTGAACGTTGATATTCAAATTTCTCCAAAACTCAACTCTTATCAAACACTATGGAAATGATAGGTGGCGGTTTAGTGTTCATGCAAAATCACTTCAAAGTGCCCAACAAGTGTTGAAAATCATCAAATATTATCTATCCAAACCCCTATGATTGATTTGGTCGAACGTTAATGACCAACATTCTGCACCATAAAGCATTGTAGGTCTAACCACCATATTATAGAATTTTCCCATAAGATTAAGAGGGACTTTAATTTTTTATCAAGCAATAAGCCCAATGCATTCCTCCAGTTCAACCATCCAACTTGAATTCTACTACTAATATCCTCTTATATTTCACTATTAATAGATCAAAGATATAAAAAATGTGTACTTTTATTATTGACTTCATTGTCGTAAATCACAATCCTTCAACTAGGTCTATTACTAATAAAATTATACTTCATATATTAAGTTTTAGATCTATTCATGCGAAAACCTTTAGACTATAAGGTTGACCTCCATAATTCAAGTATACATTCAACTCCTTCTCTAGTCTTATCAACAAGAAGAATATCATCAGCAAAAAAGAAAACACCAATGTACATTCTCTTGCGAATGGCTTGTTTTGTGATATAAAAGTACATTTTTTTATGGTTGATGATTATTTTTCTTCCTAATAGGGGGTTTTTCGTTGCTGGTGTAGCTGAGCTCTTGCTGCTATTTGTTATCGAGTGGTTCCTCCTATTTTTTTGGCTATGGGCTGACTATTGTTTGTGGTGCTTAAATGTTCAATATGAGGCTTTAATTGGGATTCTCATTATGTTGATGCTTTTTTGGAGCTATGTTTAGGCTATCAGTGCATCCTCGGTTTTATGCTCATTTGGATCTTCATGTCTATCTTAGTTATGGGTTACTATGTCTTGTTTTTTTTTGGGTTATGACTCTTTTCCTTCATTTCTTTA